AGAAAACACTTGGAGGGAGCAGTGTAGAGCAGAAAACACTTGGAGGGAGCAGTGTAGAGCAGAAAACACTTGGAGGGAGCAGTGTAGAGCAGAAAGAGGGGAGGGTGGGGCATTTGAGAAACAAGAAGGTGGTGGGTGAGAGGGGGGAGAGGCAGTTCCAAGGGGACAGAGCTGGGATAAACCCCAGGTGTGGGCAGCCCACACTGCCCTGGGAGAGGGTTTGGTGGAAGTGGCAGGAAACCATGGAAGTGTTCGTGCTCTCTGACTGCTGGGAGGGAAAGGGGAGAAGGGCAGCGGGCAGCTCTGCTGAGATCCATGGGTCCAGGCAGCTTGGACTGTGACAAGGTGGAAACGGAGAAAAAGAGGGAGAGTCGGCTGAGGTTCAGTTGCCAAGACCTTCTGAAGGGCTGTGAGTGCTAATGAGAGTGTGTATGTAGAGAGAGACAAGAAAAAGAAAACAAATTCATCCCTAGATTAGGTTTAACCTGTACTTACACACAAGTCAAAGAACACTGGAGGGTTGGGATGAGGACGTGGCTGCCCACTGTCAGCTGCTATAGGCCTACCTGAGATGTGGCACCCTGGCTGAACGCCCTGCAAGGACACCACACAGGCCCATCAAAGCGTGGCAGTGCTCGCCACTGGGGTGGGGAACCTCAGGAAAACTGCCAAGGCTGACCAGCCAAGGAGCCATGCTAATGCCTGTCCTGGAATGTTCTAGTTCTTTTAAAATGTCAGTGTGCCAGGTAGTCTTAAACAAGTGCACTCTCAGGAAGAAATCAGGCTATTAGGAGAATGATCCGACTCCCCTGCACATTTGAGTCCTGGCAGATGCCCAAGAAGACTGTGAAGACATTTAAGGCCTGGTTTGGATCTACAATCAACATCCTTGGTGTTAGTAGTCAAGAAATCAAAAGGCAAGTTGCACTGGGAAAATCTGCTGTCTGGCGCCTTACTGAGTACAAAAGAGCAATGATTTTAGCTTAAAGACTAAGGTGCACTTGATCCAAGCCATGGTCTTTTCAATTGCTTGCCATGCATCTGAAAGTTAGACAATGACTAAGGACAACAGAAGAATTGATGCTTTTGAGTTGTGATGTTGTAGAAGAGGGCTGAATATTCCATGGGCTGCCATTTGTTTTGGAGACAGTGAAACCAGAGTGATCCCTGGAAGCAAGGATGGTGAAACTTCATCCCACATGCTTCAGTCAGGCGTGCTGTCAGGAGAGGCCAGTCCTCAGAGAAAGACATGGTGCTTGGAAAGGTGGAGCATCAGTGGAAGAGGGGAAGACCCTTCACAGGATGCGTTGACACAGTGACTGTAGCAATGGGCTCAATTGTGTAGAAGACGGCAAGGGAGGCACAGGGTAGGGCAGGGTTCAGATTCACTGTTCATTTCGTCACGATGAATCGTACTCAACTCAATGGTTCCTAACAACAATAATACCCCAGGCCGTGCCAAAACCTGGCTGTCATGGGGCAGCCTTCCCTGCTGAGCATCAATTGTGAGAGAAGTGATGTAGGGTTCCTGGGGTCCACAGTGCCATCAGCATGAGCCCTGCAGACATTGAGCCCTTGCACAAGGCCCCGCCTGGCTTCTCCGCTCCCAGCCCAGCACAGGGCAACTCACCTGCTTGAACTGCTTGTAGAGGACCTTGTGGACTTGGTCTGAAGGCTGCACCTTCCCAGCGAGCAAAGACGACAGCATGTTCCCAAGAGTAACCATCCCCAAGATCACCCTGGATGGAGGCAAGGGGTGGGAGTCAGAGGTCAGGGGTCAGTGCATGCACCTCATCCCCTGCTCAGCACAGCACAATATGCCCAGAGGGGTCGTTAGGGCCTGAGAACCAGCTGTTGGGTGAGACCCTGAATCCCTCTTAGATGTCAATAAAAATTTGCCTACACTGTTGAGGGCCCCACACAAACACTCCTCCCCACTTAGACCTGGCTTCTGTTCTCAAAACCTCCTGAAGCAGAGTTTGAGGCAGGTGTGAGGGTGGCCAGCCGGCTGGTTGGCCACCGGGGTGTCTGACATTAATCTCCTCTCAGCCAGATGCAGGTTATTGTTGTAGGGGGTTCCCCCAAACGATCTGTGGAAGTCCTAGCCCATGCACCTGAGAACATCAAGATCTCGTTTGGAAATGCAGGTCTTCCTATATCGCGGAAGTAACTGAGGTCAGACTGGAGTCGAGCAGGTGCTAATCTTAATTCCTCCCGAGTTGTGTTTTATTTAACAGGCCCAGAGGAAAGGAGAAGAGAGATGCCTTGTGGAGACACATCCACAAGCCAAGAAATGCCTGCAGCTCTGGGGTCCCGGTGGCACAGCGGTTAAGCACTCTGCTAAATGCAGAGTTGGTGGTTCAAACTTACCAAGCAGCTCTGAGGAAGACTGACCTGGCCCTCTGCTTCCAGAGAGCTAGCATCCTAGAAAACCCTGTGCAGTCATTCTACTGTCACAAGAGGTAAGCAGGGGCCCTAAACCAACGTGGTGATAGTCCCTAGCACCACCCTCAGAAGCTGGAAGAGAGCAGGGGGACCGAGGCTCCCAGGCTCCAGAACTGTGAGAAAACACACTTCAACTCTTTCAAGTCGCCTGGTTTGTAGCACGTGGTTGTGGCGGCCCTGGTCGTCTAAGATGGCTATCCCTCACCGCCCAGATGCACAAAAACAAGAGTAGGACCCACAGTCAAAACTCAAAGAGTCGTTATGCCCAGCCCATTGCTCCAGCCAGTCTCAGGGTAAAAAGACTGCCAATGCCCTGGGCATCCCATGCAAAGTGACCAGGGGTCAGAGGTCAGCCTACCAGCTTCAGGTCCTCACACACGCTGTGCACAGCGCCCCTGAGGAGAGGTCAGAGCACAAGTGCAGGGGACCCGCTCGCCCCCTCCAGCAGAGCCCCACAGGGTGGAATGTCTGATGAGGGCTGGGGCACGGGACAGCTGGGACTGACCCTGCCTCGTCCACGACAGGCGCCTGGTCGAAGCCCTTCTCCCGGAGGATCTCGATGGTGTGCTCGCAGGTGACCGTGGGCAGCACAGTCAGCGGGGCCGACAGGCTCAGCTCCTGGACTCTGAGGTGCCACCACCTGAGGGGAGGGCGGGTGCAGAGCCATGTGACTCAGAGATGTCCTGGTCAAGGCTCAGGCTGTTCACCTCAAAGGGCACCACACAAGGGGGCCCATGGGGCAGCACCCACCAAGCCTGAGCTCCCTGCCCCACCCTAGTGTAGACAGGTCCCAGGGAAGCCATGCTGGCTTAGGGAGGTGGCTTTGCTGGGGTCAGCCTCTTCCGGAGGTCCTTACCACGGCTTTTTCACCTCCATATCCTTCTCCTTCATAAAGCCTTTCTGCAGCATCCACCGGTCACTCAAGAACTTAGACCTGAAATCCAAGGGGCAGTCACCGAGTTGCCAGCCCTCACTATCGCATTGCCGCTCCCCACACACCTACACATCAGCAGTGCAGCCGTATGTGCTCAAAGAGGACCCAGCACTGCCCTCAGACTCAGGACAGGCGAGACTCGGCTCTGGGCAGAGGCCTGGGGGCTGGTTTCAGAAAACCAGTTGTGAACTGAGGGATGACGGGACATCAGGACAATCAGGGGACATGTGTCGGGGGCAGTTCAGAGCTTAGGAGGACATCCTATCTGGAAACTTTTTTTGTGAGCAGGTCACTCTGTGGGCTCCCACCCAGAATGAACCTCAGTGTGCCCTGGGGCTGCCAGGAACTTGCCTTACAATGGCAGACCAAGGACAGAGAGCACAGGGAAGCAGGGATGACCCACCACCTACTACCAACACACACACACACACACACACACA